GATAAGTTTTATAAAATTATTTTCATGCTTACTTTAGCATCTCGTCAAAGCCCAATATTCTTGTCAACATCTCACTCTCTCAATCTTCCTCTCTCTCATTCTCTCTGTGTCTTCCTCTCACTTTAAAGCACTTCAAGCCCCCCTCTCTCTCTCATTTCTCTATCTCTTTATCTATCCTGTTTTTTTCTCTCAATTTATTAGTTCTCTTTTATTCACGCCAATAGTCCTAAAACCAACATCCTGTGATATTTACGGGAATAGTTCATTAACTGAGGCAGTGAAAGCCAACAACTTTCTCTTCCTCTCTCTTTAAAACACTATAGCCCCCTCCTCTCTTTCTTTTTCTCTCACTCTTTTTCTCTCTCTCTCAATTTATTGGTGCCTTTTTTATTCACGCCACCAGTCCTACAAGCAACCTCCTGTGATACTTATGGGAACAGTTCATTGACTGAGGCAATGATAGCCGAAAACATTCTCTTCCACTCTCTTTCAACTCTTTACTCCCTTCCCCATCTCTCTCTCTCTCTCTCTCTCTCACACACACACACACACACACACACACACACACACACGTGGGTGTTGGCGCGTTTTCCTTCAAGTTATTATATTACACCACACTCTCATCTCTCGTTGTGATCCTTTTCTCCTTACTTTTTTATCTATTTTTTGGATCTCCTCCCTTTGCTAGGAGCTCGGAGGATTTACTTTAGAGCAGGCTTTAAAAATCCTTTTGAATCACGTCCCCTTTTATTAAAAGAAATTTTCGATTTTTGTTCGTCGAAGATAATTATAGAAGGCTGATATGCCAAAAGATTTCGTCCATCCAATGTCATTTCCATCAACAATTATCAGATCTTTGCAAAGTTTCGTCCCAGATTTTAATAACCGTTACTTAACACTTTTCTGGTGGGTTTATTACATTGTAACTTTGCATCGTTCAGTTGCGAGTCAGACTTCGTTGAATGTTGAAATTTTGTCCACAACTGAACGCCTTAAACATTTTGATCACAATTGAACGCCTTAAACATTTAGTCCACAAATGAACGCCTTAAACATTTTTCCATAATTGAAAGCCTTAAATCTTTTGTCCACAAATGAGCGCCTTAAACAATTTGCCCACAAATGAACGCCTTAAACATTTTGTCCACAAATAAGCGCCTTAAATATTTTGCCCACAAGTGAGCGCCTTAAACATTTTGTCCATAATTGAAAGCCTTAAACATTTTGTCCACAAATAAGCGCCTTTATTTTAAAAATCATTTTGTCCACAAATGAACGCCTTAAACATTTGTCCACAAATAAGCGCCTTAAATATTTTGTCCATCAAATAAGCGCCTTTAAATATTTTGCCCACAAGTGAGCGCGTCCATCAAATGAACATTAAACATTTTTGTCCAAATGAACACCAACAAACATTTTGTCCACAAATTTATAAACATTTTGTCCATCAAATGAACAAATGAACGCCTAAACATTTTGTCCACAAATAAGCGCCTTAAATATTTTGTCCACAAAATGAGCGCCTTAAACATTTCCGGGTCCAAGGTATGAACAACATTTTGTCCACAAAACATTTTGTCCAACGAACGCCTAAACATTTTTCCACAAATAAGCGCCTTAAATATTTTGCCCACAAATGAAGGCCTTAAACATTTTGTACCCAAAAAAAAGTTAAATTCTATTTTGCCCTAACCCCCTTAAACATTTTGTCCACACTATTTTCATTTGTCCAATTTGTTCAAAAATAGGCAATCGTTTTCAAAAATTTTGTCCAATAATCATTTAACAATAACCTTTGGAAAAAAATTTCCAAGCCAAAATAAATGAACGTTTTAAATATTTTGTCCATCAACATTTTGTCCAAACATTTTGTCCAAAATGAACGCTTTAAACATTTTGTCCACAATTATACATTAAAACATTTTTTCCACAAATAAACGCCTTAAATTTTTTTTAAGCGCCTTAAATATTTTGCCTTTGTGAGCGCCTAAAACATTTTTGTCCACAAATAAACGCCTTAAACATTTTGTCCACAATTGAACGCCTTAAACATTTTGTCCACAAATGAACGCCTTAAACATTTTGTCCACAAATAAGCACCTTAAACATTTTGTCCACAAATAAGCGCCTTAAATATTTTGCCCACAAGTGAGCGCCTTAAACATTTTGTCCACAAATGAACGCCTTAAACATTTTGTCCACAAATGAACGCCTTAAACATTTTGTCCACAAATGAACGCCTTAAACATTTTGCCCACAAGTGAGCGCCTTAAACATGTAGAATGAAAAGTTGCCATTTCGTTTTCTTATACGCTATGAATTTCAGAAAGGCTTAAGTTAGGGAATTGTAGCAAAAAAATAACATTCAGGTTTATTTGAATCGTGTTCCATCTCTTTGGACGGTCAAAAAGTGGTTTGGCTGATTTCGTCAGGCTGATTTTAACGGAAACGTTCAACCACTCTCCGGGTGACCTTCCGACGTCGATGAAGATGCTCTGCTTGCCCTCGTGGTGAATAAACCAAACATTTTGACGAAAGAGATTGCTAAGAGTTTTAAAACCGATATCTCAACTGCCTTTCACCACTTTAAGAGACCTGAGTTCGTTTCCAAACACGACACATGGGAGCCACATTTTTGTAAACAAGTTTGCAAACGAGCGGTGTTTGGAGAGAATTGTGACAGGAAATAGAAGTCTATTGTTGATGATAACGATCGACGCAAACGGAGTTGGAAACAAGTTCGTGAATATGAAGAAACCGTGGCTAAAGCCGACTTGCATACAAGGAAGATGGTGATGTCCATTTGGTTGGATTGCAGAGGGATAATTTACTATGTGCTTCTTCTAGCCGGCGAAGCAATAACTACAATGAAATACTGCGACCAACTCACCATAGCCGAGCTGGTTCTTAAAAAAATCGCCATTTTAGTAAATCATAAACGTGTCATTTTCAACTAGGACAACGCAATACTGCGTGTTACTTTTGTAACTCGCAGTATTTCAGAAACTTAAAGAGCTAAAATAGGGGACTCTCCACTTTTGTGTATTTTCTCCTGAAATTGGACATGATCAGGTTTTCACCTGTTCCGGTCTCCACAGAACAATTTAAATGACGAAAACCGAGTTAGTACAGTCATATTAAAACTATATCACAACCTTCTTCCAAGAAAAGAAAAACGAAGTTTCTATACAAATTGGGTGAACAATTTTGTAAATTGTAAAATGATGAGAGACAGTTTCTAAAAACAATGTAGAATATGTACTTAACTAATATATATAGATATATATATGTCTGTGTGTGTGTGTGTGTGTGTGTGTGTGTGTGTGTGTCTGTGTGTGTGACAAATGAAAACTACAGGCAAAAGTCCATTTTCTCCAAAAGACATTCATTTTTGTAGTTCACTGATTCCAATCAACAATTTTTTTTCCGGATGATCTATGACTTCCTTCCATCTATTAACAAGGAATCTAAATCCAATAATAATAAAAACGAAAGAATATTAATATGCAACCCAGTGTGTCTTAAGATTTTAATTTTTTAATATTTTTACAAAAGTTGTTTCTTCCAAATGATTCTGTAAGCTACGAAACAAATGATAGTCTGAAGGAGCAAGATCAGGAGAATAAGGTGGATGAGGAATTTTCTCCCAACCAAGTTCTTCGATCTTTTGTGACGTGATTCTTGCTGTGTGGGGTCGCGCATTGTCCTGATGAAACATTACCTCTTTTCGATTCACAAGATCAGGTCTTTTTCTCCTCAAAGCTTGGTTCAAACGCTCTAATTGCTGACAGTATATTTGTTGCAATAAGTGGTAAAAATTCAAAGTGGATTATTCCTTGGCGATCCCACCAGATTGAAAGAAGAACCTTTTGCCCATGAAGTTCCCTTCTTGTCTGTGGCTGGGGTCCTTCCCTTTTACCAAGCCACTGTCTACGACGCTTAATATTTCGATAAAAGATCCATTTTTCGTTGCCAGTCACAAGTCTATCCAAAAAAGGTGAAACATGTTGGCGAGAATGGAGACAGAGCAGATGTCAACTCGGGATTTGAGGTTGTTTTCAGACAATTCATGAGGCACCCATTTTCCAAGTTTACGAACTTTTCCAAGTTGATGAAGTTGACGATGAACACCTGTATGGTTTGAACTGAGAACCACTGCCAATTCCTCCACTGATAAAGCAGGATTTTCTTCAAGGGCTGCTTCAAGAAACTTTTCATCAAACTCAAATGGACGTCCGGTTCGATCTTCATCTTCAAGGGTGAAATCTCCACTTCTGAATTTTGCAAACCATCTTCTGCAAGTTCTTTCATTCACACATTCCTCTCCATAAACTGAGTGAATGTTTCTAGCCGCTTCGGCTGCTGAGTTTCCTTTCTTGAACTCATAAAGCATTATGTGCCTCAAATGATTCTTGGGTACTTCCATGTTAGCAGGGTTTTAATCAAACAAAATTTAATTTTATTGTTCTCCGAAATAAAATGTGATCAGTTTAAATGCATCTAAACATAAAAATAATGTTCAGTTCCATTAGACATTATAAAATACTCTTTAAATTTCGTTCATTTTAACAAAATTCGAACAGAAGTTATGGGATGACCTGATATTTTCATGGCAACTGCTCTGACGAGCTATTTTCACTCGTGCTCCGACTGCATGAATTTAAGCGAGCTACTAGGTTGGCATTTAGGTCCCACCCTTTTACTGTCGAAACAGTTAATTATAACCGCCTCTTCTACTCCAACAGTTTCTTCTCTCGCACTTCCCGACAGAGGAACTCTCTTCCGCTTACTTGATTCCCTGATAACTATAATCTTCAACAGTTTAAATGTAATCTCAATCGACATCTTCTGATGCCTTGATCGTGATCCCCATCCTTCTCTTTATCCTTTCCTCAAACATCCTCTTTACTCTTACTTTCACTCTCTGTAACCCTTTGCGTGCTCGTGGCATTCCCGCCTTGCTTGGGGTGAAATGCTTAAAAAAATTCAAATATTTCAGT